TCTTCTCAATATTGATCATCACACAATGCCTCCTATCTTATTCACATTTCTATCTTGGTATCAGGAGGACTGCACTTATACATAGTCTATGTTAAAACAAAGCCCCTACATTTATATTTTATCAATTATAGGAGGTAGATTAATTTGCCAATTTTGCATCATTTTACCTTCAATCCGTTTATTTTCGGCTTTTGCCGTCTAGCCTTTATTTTGAAGTTCTTCCTCATCTAGCATTTAATATCTTACTTCATTACAGGGCTTAGTTCAGTCCATTCTAATTAATCACCAAACCGAAATTTTTGCTTTATTCCTTTACTCATCCCTCTAGATATTCTCAGACTTGGACAATCAATTAGGTGAGGCTGGCCTCCTCACTTTACCCGTGCATGGACTCAGTCGTCTCCATACACCTGATGCGTTCACACGTTCTCCCGAATCTCGATTCTCACGAATGCGTAGGCCGCTCCGCGCTATTGCATCTTCCAAAGGCCACGTTACCACTACTCATGAAACAGCCTTCAATGGTTTGGCTATTGGGCTTAGTTCCCGAGTCTCTCCACTTGGTGACACCCTCCTTAAAGCTGTCTTTGGAGCCTTGGTGCACGCATTGCGTCTTAACCAGAGTGCTAAAGCCTGCATAAGCCTCCTGGCATTAACCCGATGCTTTGTTGCAAAGGTGTGAATCTTTTCATTCTAGGTTAACTTGGAGAAATTAGAAATGCGAACAGTAATGGTATTTGATCAATCTTCTAGGATAATATTATTGCGGTTACTTCCACTTTATGTGAAAGTGTTAGATGTAAAGATTCCTGGGTCGATCTAACCAAAACTGATGGTGGCTTTTATTTTTCTGCACTGTCTAGGTCAACAAAACTTCTTTCAGTTTAGTCTTAAATGGTCTGAGCTATCATACCAATAAATTTTATTTAGCTTTGCCTCTTAAATGCATTTTAATCAAGGTTTCATTTCAATTTCAACCTTTTGTCTACCATAGTGACTTTCTCAATACTATTCTAAGCAACTTTCTGTAAACTCAGTTACAACACTACTGATCGGCTAGCATCATAATGTCAGTAGCTCGCAAGGAGATATGATGCTCATTGTTAGTAACTTATTAATCAAGCTGCCTTGAAATCGACCTATTTTATCATGGATACTCCAACTCTCATGTCCTTCATAATTTAAATATATCTGAAGCCATCATTACGCCTACAGAGATTTATTGGCAAATACTTGTATGAGTTCTAGATACGAAGAATAATTGGGTTACGATTAATCTCTTAAGATAAAATTGTTGGGGAGACTTTCATTTCGTGTAACGGGTCATGACTAAGAGATTCACAGGCCAATTTTATCAGAAATGACGGTAGATTTTCGTTGTACTGTCGCAGTTTGGCTTTAACATTAAATTTTTGTTGACTCAGTTCACATCAGCTTTGATAGAACAATAATTATAGTCTTATGGTGAGACCAACATACGGATATCTTCATCATGCACTTTCATACGAATAGGAAGTCTTCTAAATATTACTTGAGGTTAATTTTATATGAAGAATACTTTTCTCTTGAATTTGTTCGACCATCGACTGTCTTCCTTGTTACTGCTTTGCCTCATTTATTCAGTTCGCTCTGCAAGCTTAACATTCCAATGCTATCTTTCATTGATATATTACGTTATCTTAATATCTTTTTGATGTAGCATCTGAGGAATCGTGCTTTAAGGGTCATCATTTGCTAAAGTGCTACGAATTGATCCACCAGTTATAATTTGGAAGTAAATCCCTCTTCCCTCCATATATTTCGTAAGTCGATCTCACCAGAAGACGACGGTCGATTCTCGTTGTACTGTAGCCGTTTGGCTTCAATACGACGTTCAGGTAGACGCAGTACATGAGGCTTTTTTAATCACTGATTTAGGACCGGTATTACTTATAGACGTTACACACACATTCACACACGCAAGTAAAATTACTCTGATCAATATGAACGGAAGTTAGCCAAATCAGTCTATATATATATATATATATGTCTCTGTTTTTTTGTTTTTAGTTATGGGTATATATGGGACGTAGGATAGAGCCGGGCAGCCTTTTTGGCCTAATGTTAACTTAATAATATCCATCATATGATGGACGAAAGCCTAGCCCATTTTCGTCCGAAACGAAGAAGGATGTCTCATGGACGGCCTCATTCTAAACGTCGTATTAAAGCCATAGCATTGCCTTAATAAATAAAAATATGATTTTTTAACCTTACTTCTTAAGCTAGGCTTGATTCATCAGTTACTTTTTTTCAATTTGCGACTTTTCAAATGATTTTGAGGCAAACAAATAAATTGAAACTTATTTACTTATACTAAGTGAATTTGCGTTAATGAAATTACTAACACTAAACTCCGACTTACTTCATCTGTCCCCTCTCGCTTCTGTTTACATTAATGTTGACTAGTTTACCGAGTTCCTCTTCAACGACTCACCTGGGATCTGTGGCGCTCTCTGCCATCGTCTTCTTGCCCGATGTGCCTCACCTCTCATAGAAATCCGCGAGGCCGCGGTCGCCACTCTTTTTCATCTCATGCTCACTTGTTATCATCTCACCAAGGTGGTCAGCTCTTATTTTTTTCATATGTATTATGTGGCTTTATATCTGGTCTACTAGGGCCCTCCCTTATTCTGATCAGATCAATACATTTTGTTCTTATTTTATGATACAGCGTCTAAATTGTCTAAATATTTTTTCTTATTTACTTTTTCTAAATACTTTTCCCTCTTTTTTTGCGCCAATCCGACCAAACTTCGACAACGAGGTCAAAACAGCATTAATTATATTCGTTTACTCGTTCCTTATGTAAAATTTTAAAAAATCAGACTTAAGCTTATTGATAAAAATTTAACTATCCTCAGTCGATGTTAATTCTAAACTCTTGTTACTTATAGTATAGTTGCGATCCTTCGTTGTTTGTGACCGAATTGTCAAAGCCAGGTTAAAGCACTTAACTATTCTCCTTAACCGTTCTTATTTTACAAGGATGGTTTTTTCTGTATTTGAAGCTTTCATACTCATATCTTTGTCATTTTTTTCATTTTTCTCTTGTTCTTGCAATGAAACCTTTTTATGAATTCATTTTATTTTTCAACATCTTTATTGTCTTCGTTATCCTTTATAAATATTACTAGCTATATGTTTATAAACAATCATTTTTAACTCATACTTCCTCCAATTCAACATTGATTAACTTTTTTGGCCTACCTCGTAAGGGTTTTTTAGTACCATTTTAATATACCCCAAGGCCCCAAGGCATGCCATCGATTTTTTTTATAACACACTCTCCTGTGACCCTAATTAATCTGCGTTGAGCTTTTGTTCTTAGTCTAATGAACTTTGCCCATTAAAATCAACCTTTTATGAAATTCGCCAGACATTTAATGGAGGTGGCTGGCTGTAATCCTATTTACTTCATTTAACCTTATTTTGTTATATATTAGATGGCAGTGGGTTTTCCTTACCTTATTTAGTTTGATTTTACTGGCCTATTTTAAAAACAGCATTTGGTTTCCATAAAAACTGATTAAACTTGAGTTTTTTTATGCTAGACATCATTATGACTGGATCCCTTTTTTATGACAATCCAGCCAACCCAAAGGAAGTAGTTTGCTCATTCGTACTTCCAAAAACTCCTTACGGGCATAGAAAGTGTGCTGAATACGATGTAATAATTCATCTACTGTTTTATGTAACCTGACTAAGTATTGTATATGTTAGGTTATAAATTTTTCAGAATAATAGACCTGCTTTTGTGCAGAGGAAAACTTACTGCTAATTTATTATCATCTTATTAATTTTAATCGGATTGATCATAGCTGCGACCATACAAATAATAGTTTCTAAACAACACACCAGTCGAGGTATTTGCTTTTTTAATTTTAATAGTTTGTATTTGATTTCAAACTGTATATTTACTTGTACAACGTCTTTTGTTCTTTTCGTAATAAGTAGCTTTTGTTACTATTGTAAGGTCCATTTTTGTCACTGTAAGAGAATTTAACTATCAATTTTTATCACATGCGACCTAGGTTGGCTACAGCTCTTAGTATATTATTCTTTTTTTATTATTTCTTTTTGCATCATTCTACATTGTATCTCTGGCCTTACTATTTTATAACGTCGTTTATCGTCTTGCAATATCATTTATTATTCCCTAATTCCAGAGCCTTACTATGCTCAAAGTTCAATTAACTATGGCCTTCAACTGTATGATAAATTCATCCGATATGACGCTAGCTCACAGACTTGGTACCAATTCTCAGTTATCCACTCCTTTGGGACAGCGAGAGGCCTACCTGCAGCGTGATTTCTGCCTGGCAACAGCCTTACGTACTTTGTTTGCTTACGCTTCAGTCCATCTGACTAATCATAGACGCAGTTCGACTCTGGAGTCCATCCAGTCTTTATCAAGTGAATCCTGCAAATTTAAGCAGGCCATTACTCAACCCAATTACTTTCCTTCCACTGGGCCAAATTGTGCAAATGGACCAGTGGTCAGTTCATATTTATCCGATGCGATTACATCAGGTAACGAATCAGGTGGAGTAGCGACGGATACTGCTGGGCCTGAATTACTAAAGCCTATTCATTTGGTTCTGGAGGCAGCTGATGCTGAGGTTGCAACAGATTTGGCTACACAGGTGAGATTGAATTGATAATGCTCTATATTTTGGAGCCGTATCCCTGTAAATGAATTTGTGTTGATGGTTTACTAGTTTTGCTAAAACAAAGATTCTTATTACTGCATTACTTTGATATATTATTCTAGTGTTTTAATTCCAGTCTTGTGACATGACTTTCAGTTTCGATAGAAAAGTTGGTTGGAAAGAATTTGTGATGTGTTTACACCGAATATCGAAGGATGATTGCTGCGCATGGGAGACTGTTGTATTGTGAGAGGAAGTCCTCGGTTCACAGTCCTGCGACCACAATGGATATGCTAAGCTTTCGCCTTTACTATCATCAGAGCAAGAATTCATACTTTATGAAATAGAACACAAATATACTAAGCCAAGAGAAAATATGGCTGGCTCTGCGACCATAGTCTCTTTTTTATACACCAAACTTCGTGAACGTAATAAGGCATCCCGTGATTCGTTTGGCTACTTCAACCTTGCTCAACATGCTTGCAGATGAGTGGAGTTACTTGACGAACCTGAAGTGAGTTCGTTGAGAGCTGTCTCCTTACAGAAATGAACTAATGTACGATCCTCTAAGCATATCCAACCGCTACAAAGTTTTCTACACACGCTAGACAATAGCATAAGCCCAAATATGAATCAGCATTGTAGAATCGTTCATTAGTTTATTTTTGTAAGGAAACAGCTCTCATCGAACGCACTTCCGATTTGTGGAGTAACTTAACTCATCTGCAGGCACGTCAAGCAAGGTTGAGGTAGCCAGCCGAATCATGGGATGCCTCATTAGGGTCACGAAGTTTGGTGTATAAAAACGACTAGGGTTGCACAGCCTTTTATCTTGGCTTATTATATTTTTGTTTTATTTCGTAAAGTATAGATTCTTGCTCTGCTGATGTACAAATGAAAGTTCGGCACAGGTTCATTGGGGCCACAGGACGGTGAGCCGAGGACTTATTCGCATAACACGGCATTCTTCCCTATGCGACAATCCTTCGGTTTTTGGGTGTGACCATATCACGAATTCCTTCCAACTAACTTTTCTTCCGTAATGGAAATTCATATCACAATACATCAATAAGAAATTCTTTGAAACCCAATTTTTAAAAATTCATTTAATTCATTTAATTTAATATAATTCATTTGCTTTAACAACTGAGCTATTTAGCATTACCTACCCCACATTGAAACACTTAACTATCTTTGCCAGGCGGCTGTTTATTGCCACTTTAAACGCATAAATTATCGTCTAATCCACCGAGGGTGCCTTCAAGTTAAAAAATTTTTTTGCTATACATATCTTTTAGAAATTAAATAGCTGTGAGCAACCTTTTCTCTTCATCGTGATTAATCACATTTCCATGCATTGAGCCAATACTAGGGACTTACCCTTTGTGTCTTTCTAACTAAAGGGCCATTATTTTTTTTCGCAAGAGCCATGCCTGATTCCTTTATAAGTACATATGATTTTCGACTTAGTTTTTCAAATATTCAAATCGTTGATCATAGCTTGAAGTAATAATAGCTCTTTACTATTAAGCAATGTGCTTTCCATTTTTACGCTTAATGTATGGACGTTGCTCGTCTTCTTCACATTTCGTTTTTTTCAATAGACGCTATTATGCGAGCTTTTACTTTTAAGTTCTAGTGATTCTTATTAAAGTTTCTGTTCTATCTATAAAATAATTATTGAAATTTATTTGCTTAGACGTTGGTGGACCACTTTTTCGCAACTTGGTCTTGTTGTTAGGTCGGCTTAGTTAGACGCACCTTGTCCTAAGTCAGATCATGGACATGGTACATTATCAGACGTTTTGCTGGCATGGTAGTCGGCATCAATAATGAGTCTTGCCATTCTCAGCACCAAGCTACAATTCATCAGAGACAAGTGAAGTCAAACCTTTGACCAAACTTTCTGCTGAAATGGTTGTACTATCACTCCTCTTGTCACGACCCATCCATCTACTTAACTACGTATCTCA